ATAAACGCTGTTTGATGTGATTCTCTTGCATCATCTTTTGGGATGCAATCAGAAACACACATTGGTTAGTCTCCTACCCTTCCTTCTCTTTCTCCGTCTTCAAGTAAATGGAGGATCTCCTTTGTGTCAGGCACTGTGCTAGATGCTGGTGATAAAATGAGCAAGACCCACTGTCTCCCCATATGGAGATTAGAGTTCTAGTGTGGGTAAATGGACAAGTGAATGGGCAATCAGAATATAGTTTAATAAATTCTGTGATGATGTTAATAACAGAGGAGGAGCACATAACAGAGTCTGTGTGATTAGAAAAGTTTTCCCAGACAATATGAAGTAGAAGCTGAGAGCTGAAGAGTGAATGGGAGTTAACAAAACTGGAATAAAAGGATGAAGAGCAGTCTAGGTCTTAGACATAGGATTCCTTAGCATTGTGTAGACTTGGACTTATTGCTGGTTGTTTCTTTGATTTGCTTGCTGCTACCTTTGAAGGATGAACAACGTTGTGCATTTAGGATACTTTCCTTTACAAGTAGCATACTATTGAAAAGTGGGAATAGGAAATTTCCCTTAAAATGGGAAATTTATTAACTCATAACATGAAGTCTGGAAATAGGACTGTCTCAGGATTGCGGGGGTCAGGGCGTGGCCTTCATCCAGGACACAGGTGTTTTCCATCTTTTCCTTTTGCTAGATTATTGGCAATTTATCCTCTCATCTTAGTATGGCTGCTGCATGCCCAAGTACCATGCAGAACAATGTCCAAAGTAGCAAAAGCAGTTTCTTTTCTTGCATCCTTCAGGAAGAAAAAAACAAACAAAAACCTGTTTCTTGGATCCTCCCTGCCATACTTTCCTTTACTTCTCATCAGTGAAAATGTGTCACCTGTTAACTGGTCACTGACGAAGGCGGTGGAATTATCCTGATTGGTTTACAAATTAATTAGTGTTTACTTTGTGCTAGGATGGGAACATGAAATACCAGAGCAGATTGGTACTCTTCCAAGGGAACAAGACTAACTGTTGTGTAGACAGATGTAACTAATAGGCAACTGACTCATCTTGAAGTAGAAGTCTCTCTCAACCGCTTAGGTTTGTGTCAGGCTTCATATTGCATTAGCTTTTCCTAATTATGTTTTCTTTGGGAGCCAGGTCCAGATGTATCAGTAACAAGAAATGTAAGTTTGATTAAGGCATTTAACTTTTCTTGGCCTCAGTTTCCTCCATTGTACAATAAGAGCTTTGTATTCCATCTTTAAGACCTCTTTCAATTCTAATGTTTTAGCGGTTCATCCGACTGTTTTGCTTTCCTTGTTCTAAAAGGAGACAGACTGATGTACTCCAGAGGACACTTTCTAGATGTGTAAATTTGACAGCCTGCTTCATCTTCTTGGGTTTCAGGTCCCTTATTTATAAAATGGGAATAATGTCTAACCTATAAGATCTTTAATATTTGAATGAGATTCCATATGCCTATAATATTATTTTTCTTTACCTCTTATGACAGACAGATTTGAACTGTTGTATGCTCTAGCAAGTGATACAATCCTGTAATGGTTTAGCATAGGGGACTGATAAGTGTTTGTTGAATAGAATACCTGAAGTGCAAAGCAATAAGTCTCTCTCAATATGCACATGAAATCTAGATGGGATGTTTAGAGGTATGTGTCAGATATAGACACTAGGATAAAACATTTTACATTTTGCAAAAACCTGTAGTTTCTTTGATGGTTTTTAGAAATTAGACTTTACAAGGCAGCATTTATGTCTTTGAGTCAAAAATATAGCCTATGAAAAGTTGTTGACTTCCAAGCATTTCTTCTTGTTTACCTTTCAATGGGTACAGGATATTCTTTGGATTATTGCAAATAATTAAACCCAGTGGTGCAGTTTATTTCATAGTCTTGTTTAACTCTGGCACATCTGGACATGTCAAAAGCACATGCGTGACCTTGTTCTCAAAATTCTGCTTTCTATTAGAAATGGAAATGGAAACAGAGTACTTTATTAAAATATAATGTTATAACTAGTTATAGGTCTTTAGCCAGCAGGTGGTACAGAATATAATTTGTCTTTTTTTTTAAAAAATATTTTTTTAGTTATTTTAAAAATAGTTATTTTTAGAGAGAGGGGAAGGGAGGAAGAAAGAGAGAAATGTCAATTTGACTGAGGAACATCAATTAGTTGTCTCTTATACCGGGGATCAGGGGCTGAAAATGCAACCCAGACACGTGCCCTGACCAGGAATCAAACCCATGAGCTTCTGCTTTGTGGGATGACACCCTGCCAACAACTGAGCCACTCCGGTTAGGGCTAGTTTTTCAATTTTTGAGCAGTCTTTCTGATTTGGCCATATCAAGTTTAAATTTCAAGGAATGTTAGAAACAGGCCATCACTAGATGGCAGCCTTTCTCTAGTTTAAGTTATTTGTTGGGGGTGAAGTGGGGGGGGGCAGGAAGCTACTCTTTGCTGAAGTACAGTATTGACTACCAATATTAGGGTAAACTTCAGTAGGTCTATGACCTTTTCAGAATTTAAGACTTGTTTATTTATTTTTAGCATTTTATGTCTGATAGAAATGTTGGTTTGCATGGAGTAATGCTGATTATATATTTGAAATGCCTATTCAAGGTGCACTGTTAGGTAGTGATCAATAATTCCCTTTTCTTATGGTTGGCAACTAGAAGCAAAACCTTCAAATCAGTCGTTTTTGAAATCTTTGATAACCAGATGGAAACTATGGGACAGGTTTTCCTTAAAATTACATATATGTGCTTCTGCCTATGCATACAAAATTGACAAATTCACATAAAATATGGAAATCATGTATTTCCTGATGCATACCCACAGAATAAAAATTTATTAAACACAGTCCCATAGTCCTTTTTTAAATATATGGGTATTACATTTTATTCTAACTTTTAAAAATTCTCAAGAAACTCAGGGATCCACTGTCAACTTTTCATGTTATTTAACATTATTATAATTAAAGAGAGTATTCGAATCATGAAGACCCTAGGATGGGAGAAACAGGCAAAGGCTAGTGATAAGGGTACAGAATATTTATTAGCTTGTTTTGAACTACCTGTTCAGACTATTCTGAAAATGTGTGATATTTACCTTATTATTGGCTGAACTCGAAAGTGGAAGTGAATTGTAGAGATTTAGTGCTAGGCTGATACTTCAGAGAATGTGTAATTGACTGCTTACTATTTTCTAAATGAGAAAGCTGAGGATCAGAGAGATTAACTGAGTTGGCTGAAGACTCATAGCTAATGACATTGCTAAAACCAAGGCCACACAGCCAGATAGTTAAAATCCATGTTTCCTTTCTTTTTTACACACACACACACACACACACACACACACACACACACACACACACACACGAAGTTTAGGGAGCTGAGGAGTCATTATTAACATGTTACAAGTTTCTTAACTTTGAGATTTTCATCCTGAGGTTGTCTTTTGTGATATTAATGTAGACGTTTTGAATGAAAAAATGAAAAGTTGTTACATAGTAAAAGGAAGTAGACTTGTTACTTAGAAGTGTTACTGGTTTAAGATATAACTGAATTTGAAAGAAAGAGTTATCTAATATTGAATAATGTCTGCCTATGCCATGTAGATTGATAAGTTTACAGTGGTTATTCCTCTTCTTCAAGTGGCAAGGAATATTGGTGTCTTTTCATGGAAACTTTTCTTTACCTTTTTTTGAAAGGGGAAATGTTATCCCTATTTGAGGTTAGTTGAAAAGTCAATGGTAGTGTATCCACTTGTGTATTCCAAATAGTTCCTTCAGGAAAGTGGTGTTCTGTAGTGTTCTTAATTGTCAAAGCAGGGATTGTTAATGATTTATTTGAAGGTCTCTTCCCTTTATTTCAAAGGAAAGAGAATGAATGTAGATTGCTCTGGCTTTTCTAGTGTTCAGAATTTTTACTGGAAACCAAACTGCTATATGAGGTCTATTTAGAAGGTATCCAGCCATGTAATATGAAAAATAGAGACATTTATTGAAGAAGATAGACGATAGAAGAAACATTGTACACAGGATAATGATGCCTCAGTCTCCTTCAAAATATGCACCTTGGGACTTCACACAGTTCTCTCAATTGCCATCAACTGCCCTGTCGTATTCTCATTTTTGGTCTGAAATCCCTTCCCTTTCAAAGGTGATTTTAGTTTTGGGAATAGCCAGAAGTTGCAGGAATAGAGTTCTTGAATACTGAAGAATAATGGGAGAAACATGATGCAGGGGAAGGATAAAAGGGAATAATTGCAGGAATAGAGTTCTTGAGACAAGGAGGAGAGGAGAAAGTGAGATTTTTACACATAGTTATTTTGGAGACTTACAAAGTGATTTTTTTTCGTAGTGATGGTCGTGGTGGGGAGATAGATTTAGTAGTATTATCTAGTGGTATTTATTGAGTGCCCAGTTTAGATTTGTAGGTATATAGCCTACCTGAGTCTAGCTGGTGCAGCTGTGTGATTTTTTTTCCAGCAGTGTCAGCTTCTTGGGTGTGTTTATCCAAAATTGAGTTTTTCTAGAGTATTTCAAGTTGTGTTTATCCAAAATTGAGTTTTTCTAAATTAATTTAATTGAGAAAGAAAAATGTAAAAGACTTGTGATTCCTTGGATGGGAGACTGCCTGGGAATACTGGATGTTGTAGGCTTTTGAGTGCCTGATCTTGGAGGCTAAGCAAGGTTGGGCATGGTTAGTATTTGGATGGGAGACTTGTAATTCAGTTCTTCATTTTATGATGAGAATTCTATTATAAATACTGCCATACACTCCTTCAATATATTTTTGAATGAATGGGAAGCAAAATTTTGGGTTTTCCTACAATATACTCATCTAGCATTGGGGCAATATAATGCAGTTGAATTACCCTGTGGTTTATGTACATTAATATCTAATTTCCAAATAAACTTGCTTCTGGGTTTGCAGTGTTTTTTTATTTCTTAGAAGTCAATCTGGTGTAATATTTATGCCATTTTTTTTAAAGGTCTGTCTATGATGGTGAGGAACATGGACGATTCATGGAGAAACTTGAAACTCGCATCCGCAATCATGATCGAGAAATTGAGAAAATGTGCAATTTTCACTACCAGGGCTTTGTGGACTCTATAACTGAACTACTGAAAGTGAGAGGAGAAGCTCAAAAACTCAAAGTAAGGACACTCTTAGAAGAGAGACTTGTTTCTCTGTCCTATGCTGGGGTTTTGACTAGCATGAAAGGAGTAAGGAATATATTACAGGTTACATATTTACTACAAATAAGATTTTTGAAGAGTAAAGAAAGAAATTTGAACTGAAACATAGATAATTGGGATTATGGCTTTTAGCTAAAAAGAAAACCTTTAAAAATTAAATTTATTTGGGATAACTACATGTGGATGAGAACCAGTAACAGAATAAGTAATAGTTTCTTTCACACAGAAACTCATTGACTCTTCACGGCCTCCATATACTTTTTTGCTAGATAAAAGACATCCCTGTAGGATGGTGCTGTTGCAGGGCCTGGCTCTCAGAGTCTGCAGCATATGACAACCAAAGGAGAAAAAAATCAGTCCCAGTTGTGGAGTGTCTTCTACCAAAGCCTGAAGGTTCTTTCTGGATATGACAGATATCAAGAAAGGAGGCTAGCCATATAAGTCTGGTCCCTGGCTTAGGAAATTCACTTCTTTTGGATAACTGACTTTGTTTATTGATTTTAAATCTAACCACTTCACTAAACCCTTCTATTATTTCTAAAAATTTGTATGTAGTTTTTTTGAGTTTTCTATGTAAGCATATGCATATGATCTGCAAATAATAACAGCTTTAATTTCTTCTTTCCAGCACTTATACTTCTTCTTTCTTCTCTCTCTTTGTTTTTTGTTTTGGTCTTATTGGAATTTGAGTTAAAGTCCCCAAAGAATATTCCTTGACAGTGAGTGTAAAATTCATATAAAAGAATATGTTGGTAGGAAAAGCAAAGAAACAATTTTATTAAAGGGAGAAGTGGGCTATTAGATGTTAAATTATATTTTAAAGCTATAGTAGTTTAAAATCTAACTTGACTGCAAAATCTGACCTGAATGGATATGAAGGTATCAAACTTCTTAATATATTTTATTTAATGTAAAGTTTTGTACTTTGCTATAGAAATAGTAATATGATTATGTGATGTTATCCTAGTACCCACTGGTTATATAATATGAAATATATGCCATATTATCTTTATAAAATCTCTAAAATTCTGAAGTCCAAAACAGAGTGGGTTCCAAGGTTTCAAGTAAGAGTTTAGGGACCTGTACAACCACCCTCCAACTATCTTAAGAATAAAATATTACAATACTGGCAATTAAATACAATCATAGTTCTCTTTTGTACCCTTCTCAGTTGCTTCCTTCATCCTCCCCTCCACAAAAAAACAGCTTTTCTGATTCATTGTTTGTATTCTTTAATGCTTAACTAATTGGAATTAAATTAAATCCCTTTTTCATTCAACATACCAGAATTAATTTCAGAAGGACTAAAGAGTTAAATGTAAAAAATAAAATCATAACATAACTAGTAGAAAAGATAGATGGATACTTTGTGATTTTGGGAGTGAGGAAGACTTTCCTACACACAATTCCTAAGGCAGAAAGAAAAAATTAATGGAAATGAGAATATTAAAATGAATGAATCTTTTCTACATACAACTTAAAAATTAAAAGGTAAATAACATAAAATTATTTACAAATATATATGATTGATATTCTTAACATATGAAAAGTCTTTACAAATTAATAGAACACTCTAATTGAAAAATTCAGAAATACACATGAGTATACAGTATACAAAAGAAATGCAAGGGAGCTCTACAATTTAGAAACAATAAAAGGAATGCAAATTTGATATATAAGGTACCATCTACTAAAATGAGACAGATGAAAAAATAATATTTAAGATTGGAGAGGATACTAGTCAACTGGGGAATGCTTGATTGGAGTGTACATTATTACAACCTTTGAGAAGAGCAATTTTATTTCCCAATGGTTAAAACTCCACATAATTTTAAGATTTATTCTAAGGCTATATAGGTGCATGTACAAGGATGTTCATATGATGTTTTTTTAAATAGGTAAAACATTAACATGTCCCTAAAAGTCATTTTGAAGAAGAATTGTAAAATAAATCATGGTACATTCATTTAAAAGAAAAATAAACTACAATGTATTGTAGAACAGTATCTGACAGGGGAAAGTATTAGAAATGTTTACTTAATGGATAAAGCAGAATAAAAATGTGAACAATTTGGTCCTATTTAAAATAAGAAGTTATCTGAATTTTTGGAGTCTGAACAGCCTCAAGTGGACAAAAGAATTTGAAATGTTTGAAAACAAAGATGGGGAGTTCCTGCCAGGAGCTGTGTGTGCTCTTTGTTCTCACTCAGCCATCCCGGCTTCCCACCTTCACCGCAGGCTGTTCTTTTCTATGCTCCTTGAACGCTGTATTCTAAACTTCTCCCTCCACTCCTGTGCCCCGCATCGAAGATGGGCACCAGGATGTTCTGTCTCCAGTTACTGAAATAGTCATATATAGGCGGGGAGCACTGAATACTGCCTATAGTGCTCACCAATTACTGATATCACTTGGCTGGTTGGGACTCATCTTCTCTTCAAGTTGCAGATTCCTTTAAATTACTCAGGATGCCCCTGAGGGAAAGCAAGAACCGGGGGCTACCAGTTCAGGGGTTTTGGCTGCTCAGGTGCTCCACTCTTTCACTCTGAGAATTCAGGGTGTTAAAGCCTAGCAGCACACCGTGGAGGCCCTGCTCTAGTGGGATCCATTCAACTGGGGTTAAGAACCTATGAAATTTAGAGGTCCTTGAAATCTAGAGTTTAGAAAATGGAAAAGGTTAAGCATTAACTGTTCAGTACTATTTTAACATAAGAACAAAAAGAAACTACTCTAGATGCTTACTCTTTCTTTCGATTCACAGCATGTGTGTGTTTGTGCGTATGTATGTGTGTATTCCGAATCAAGAGAAGTAGCATCCTGGAGGGGCAGTGTAGTTCTTCTTCTTTTTTTCTTTTGTATTGGCTGCTGTCATTTTTTAATTTGACAGTCTAAAGGAGAAGAGGTCAGTGCCCCTGACTAAATAGTCAGATATTACTTGTTCTAAATTTTTTAAAATTATATTTTATTGATTATGTTATTACAGTTGTCCCAATTCCCACCCCCCCTTACCCAGCATCCCCCAAGTTTCTTCTCACTGTTGTGTTAAAATAGTATTGAAATAGTAATTTCTTATCAGAGGCATTATTAGGCTCCTATGGATATGTTTTAGAATCTGGTTTGCATGAAATCAGTTAGTAGACCACGATCAATATTCTTAACAAGAATTGAGATAGAATATACTAGACTGGAAAATAATAAAGTATATTACATGCAGCAAAGGTAATCATTGTTCCTTGAAGTTTTCTTTTCAGTTTCGAGCGCGTGTATATTCCCTGTGCTTGTGTACTGGGCTGCAGTATAAAATGTATTTCTTACAATGAGTTTGAGATAAAAAAATTTTCAGGAGTGTTGTCTTTACATGGTAAACATGGTATTCTAGTGAAGACAATGATGCTAAACTTAGTATTTAAGGAAGGATGAATTTTATGAGATCTCTAATTTAGGATAAAAAGTAATCAAATTATTTTTGAATAACTGCTCTGACGGGAGTCACACTACCGCTTATGGCAGCCTACCCTGTTTTTATTCACATCTCTTGAAAGCTTTTTCTTATACTGAACTGATTTTAATTCTGTTTTTTAATAACATTCATTTATTGGTTTGAGTAGTAAGCACTGTTTTTAGGGCACCGCCTTTGTTCTGATAGCTCTTCAAACATTTGAAGGACAGCTGTTGTTCAGGGGTGGTATATAGTGTCCAGGTGTAGTGTATGGTGTCTTCAAAAGAATATTTTCCCTCTTTGTGAGACAGGTTGAGCCTCTCCTAGGTAAGACTGGAATTTCCATCTGTTGCTCCTCAAACTCTATACCAAATTAGTGCTAGGAACTGCTTTATCCAGCAGAAACTGTTTTGACCCTAATGGATGTGCAATTAAGCCTTAGAATGATCGACTGCTGTGAGACCTTATCCTCATTATAATAGTTAAAACAAACAAACAAACAAAACCAACCAACCAACCAACCCACCTTGGGTGGAGTTTTAATGTGTTAATGAGACATGTGACTCATGAAGAAGCATGTATTCAACAGTTACATCAAGAAAGTGCCAAAGAATCTCTGCCTCTACATACTCAGACATCATCTTTCTCACCTAAATTTCTTTAAAACTGTTCTCTGGCTTTTGTTCAAGGAGCAACATTTCTGTTTCTCCCTTTAAATATTGTCTCTCTGAGTGCTCAGGATATATATAATGAGCCCTATATTTGTGGTGAACTCTCTTGATTTCCATTTTAGGAGTTCCCAAGACCACAGGTTGGTTCAATGGTAGAATTTATTCCCTGCCATGTGGGATATCTGGGTTCTATTCCAGTCAGTCCATTCCAGCCTATGCACCAGGCTCTATATCGATCCCTGGTGATCTCTTTTCACGTTTATCCTGGAGGTTGCAAATACCCTGGGTGCCTGTAACATTCCTGCTGAAAATTCCTTTCTTTGTTTTTCATGTGGTTAGATTTGACCTCCTCTTCAAACATATTCACATCAAATCATGCTTCAGTTTGTCAGTGGCTTTTCTAAAACGTGTCATCTGAACATAATTCTCATAGTATGATCTTTAAAAACAATTTTTTTTAATCTTCACTTGAGGACATACTTATTGATTTTAGAGGGAGGGGAAAGTGGGGAGAGAAAGAGGAAGAGTAGCATCAGTGTAAGAGAGAAACCTCAGTTGGTTGCCTCTCCTATGTGCCCTGGCTGGGGACTGAACCTGAACCTGTAGCCACATGCCCTGACCGGGGATTGAACCTGCAACCTTTTGGTACAAGATGACGCTCCAACTAACTGAGCCACTCAGCCAGGGCAAAAAACCCCCTAGTTTCTTGATCTGATCCTCAATAAAAGGGTGTGATGTTAAATAACTTTGGAAAAGACTCTATGAGATCCCCTTCTTGGGCATTTACAGCGCATGTAGAATATAAAAGATGTAAAGAAGTCCTCAATAAATTCACTTGTTCAGCGGTGTTTCCCATACATAGTGTGTGTGCCTGTACAGGTGTGTACCTCTGTGTGCATGTACAGAGTACCTGCTACCTACTATATCTTGGTGTTCTAGGGGACATAATAGGAAATTCCGGGTTAAGGGAATGCCATAAAAGTGTAAGGTGTGGCAGCTACTGGTAGAAAGGTAGAAAGTCTCTGTTGAAGAAAGCTTTAGAAGTTAATATTGGTCATGTTTTGATAATGTCTAAATGGTGAGGAGATAACTGTTTTATGTACTTTTTTGGAAATATCACTTGAGGCTTCAAAAGTAAATACCCAAAAAAGTGGTGTGTGTTCCCTTAAAATATGAACTCAAGATAATTTTAAGGCTATTCACAAAGTTTTGACTGTCTGATGGAGAGATTAACTAAGAAAAAACTTAGAAAAATCAGAATATGGAAGCACTAGGATCTGTTAAAAATTAATGATCCAAAAATAATTAAGATAAAACATTTTCCAAAATTAGAATAATAGTGTAAATTTGACTTAAGTTAAAAAACTCAATTTATGCCCAGGTTTTCCAGGAATACATTAGTGAAGTGAGAAATACCAATATAAAATTTGTTCTTTTTGCACATAGCAGAGATGGTAAGATTCTTTGGTAAGATGGTTGTTTCTTCTGTTTCTTTTCTTCAAAATTTAAGTATGGTCTTTAGTTGTTACAGTATCATTTGGAATATTCTTAACAGAACATACCTCTTAGTAAATTTTTCTTTTCATTGTTGAAAGGCCATGCAACATTTAGTAGAAAAGTTCATATAATTTAAACACAAGAGGATGCATCTAAACCAAAATATGGTGGTATACTGAAACTATCTACTTACTTATACTCAGTGTTTTTTGTTGTAAATTTTGATCTTATACAACTGTTGTCTAAATGTTTGTTTTTATGAGTTTAAATTGTCTTCTCTCCACAGAATCAAGTGACGGATACTAATAGAAAACTACAGCATGAGGGAAAGGAAGTAAGGCCAGTTTACCTTTTGAAAAAACCTTTTCTGTTTCCTGTCATTCTCTTTTGATGACTGTGTTCTTGATTTAGTGGCTTGTAAGAACATAAGCAGTATATATTGGAGGAATTTGGATGTCATTATTGCTTCTCCTACTGTTTACCTGTATTAAATGAATATAGCCACTAGGAGGCGTAATGAGAGGGGGTGTAGCCTTCCGCAGCTGTGTGTTTTAATCCCTTGGGTAGCCAGCGTAAGGACAGTGCTGCTCCCTATTCCTGGAATGCCCTTTCCCCAATACTTAACCACTTCAGACCTTTCTGTTTTGTTTGTTGGCTCCTTAATGAGGTATTTTCTAACCACCTTAAGTGAAATTGCAGTTTCATTCTCAACTCCCTGTGTTCTTTTTTTTTTTTTTTACCTTTCTTGCTTTATTTTTTCCCATTGCATCTATCACACTCTGATAGTATGTATTTTTACTTATGTATTTGTTTATTGTCTGTCTCCTTCCAATAGAAATTAAGTTCCATGAGATCAGCAATTTTTGTTTGTTTTATTTATTGCTATATCCCCTCTACCTCTCTAAATAGTGACTGGAACAAAGCGGGTGCTCCGTAAACACCTGTCAAAAAATGAACCATTGATGCTATTAATTGATATACTCATCATTTAAATTATCACAGTTTACAAGATTATTTTATATCCATTTTCTCACTTGATCCTCATGGCAGACTTGTGACCAAGTCAGGGCCGTATTATCACTATTTTATTGGTGAGAAAACTAAAACAGAGGATTTGCTAACATTTATATAGTAAATGGGAAGGCTAAGACTAAAACTGAAGTTTCCTGACTTGTGTGTAGTCCATTTCTCTTCTGTGTATCATGTGCCTTTTTTATTGCTTAACACTTATTGTTCAACTTTAATAATCTTTAAGATTAGCTCTTGGTTGTTCTATCAGTGACTTAATCAGGGTTATCATCTTTTGTTCTTTTTCGAATGGTACCTAAGCAGATAACATTTTTAGATATGGGTATGGGAATACTACAAAAAACTATATAGATAGATTAGTGCTTTTGAAAGTTTGTCACATATTTTAAATTATGCAGAGAGTGAAGTTTCTTCTAGTTTTATTGTGATATGACTTCAGACCAAAGCCTTTATAATAGCTCTGGGAGAAAAAGTGAGCTTCTCTTCACTAAACTGGAATTTTTGGAAAAGCACACTTCTAAGTGTCTGGTTTATTGTAGAAATAGAGATTTAGTTGCAATTATTTTCAAGACTCATTTGAAGCTGTATAGGAAGGATTATTTTCCTCTAGTACTCTAGCACTGATAAAAGAAAAAGATAGGATCTTCTCAGAAGAGTGATGAACCCATAAATCATGAAGAATCTGAATAGGGTTTGGAGAAAATCTGAAAATTTTTGTTTTCTCCTGGAGAGCCTCTGAATTTTAGGATTTCCTTTTACCCAGCCTTTTCTCATATATAGCAAGTGTCTTGAGGAGAAAGTGGGAAACCATGCAGCAATGTTTCACTGATTGAGAAAGGCAGTTCCTTAGCCGACTTGGCAGGTCTTACTATGAAACTGGGATTTTCTGATGAATTGAACACAGGGTGGAAAAATATGACTGAAAGCTTTTTATTTACAGCTATTGGCATAATTCAGTTTTTTCCCCTCTTGCCAAGCTGGTAATAGCAATGGAAGAGCTGAAGCAGTGTCGACTACAACAGAGAAATATTTCTGCCACTGTTGATAAATTAATGCTGTGTCTTCCAGGTGAGAAACTGGAAATGGATTAGGATTCTTGATGCAATTCTTTAGCTTTAATTAGTGTTTCACTTCTCTAAATAATGCTTGTGTGCTTTTTTTCCCCCTTCTCTTTCAAGTTCTGGAGATGTATAGCAAACTGAGGGACCAGATGAAAACTAAAAGGTAAGTTTTTTTTTTAATTGAATAATTTTTGTTATCTAAAATTTCTGTTATTTAAAATACCTTTAAGGTATATATTTAGCCTAACCTTTTAAAAATAATTAAATTCATGTAACATCTCCTCTAGCCTTTTGTATATCTATTGATTTATCCTGATACTTACTTACATATAGTGGTGGTATGCTGATGTATTTTGTCAAGGGAAAAGCATGTAACTGTTTTAGTGGTGGTTGGTTTGAGAAACATGCTTTGGTTTAGTACTGTAGTAGAATAAATAGTTACTGGTTCTGGTGCAGGGATTCTCCACTGGAACAGAACCAATAGAGTTTATATACACACACTGGGGGGTGGGCACTTGAAGGAGTCGGTTTACATGATTATGGAGGTTGGAGGGTCTAAGTCTAAAATCTGCAGAACAAGCTAATAGGCTAGAGTTTCAGGGAAGAGTAAATATTGATTGTAGCCTGAGTCTGAAGGCAGTCTGCTGGCAGAATTCCTACTTCCTCAGGGGAAGACAGTCTTTTTTCTATCAAGGTCTTCAAGTGAATGAAGCCCACCTACATTAGGGAAAGTAATCTTTATTAACAGTCTAGTGATTTAAGTATTAATAATCTCATATAAAAATACCTTCACTGAAATATCTAGAATGATATTTGACTAAATATCTGGGTACTGTGTTCTAGCCACCTTGACACATAAAATTAACCATGACAAGGGATAAAGTCAAGGTTAGATTCAGAGGATTTCTCTCTTGTGTGTTGTTTATTTCCCTGTTTATTCCAGAGGAAATTCTATAGTGACTTTTTGGCTCTTTTTTCCAAACTAGAGTAAGCATCCCCACCCTCTCTGCCTTGGGGTACCATGTAGTATGATGGGGGAGTAAGTAAAGCTGTAGGATGAATAGGACACATTCTAGGAATGTTAATTTTACCTAGGTTTTGAGGGAAAAAGTATAGAAATAAAACACATTTAATATTGAAATAAGAATAGAAATATTGTGAATAAAAATTCTACATTCTCAAGAATTTTAAAGCTCGAGCATGATGCATCAAATGTTTTTAATTTCTTAGTATTGTTTCCCAGGCTCCCTTCTCTCCAGGAGATTTGTTCACCAAGAACATAGGTAGAAAATTATGAGATATGAAGGGAGTATGATTTTCCTGACAAATATTTTATAAAGTTCTAAAATTATAGAGAATAAAAGAACACTTGTTTATATGTGTATATGTATGTGTTTGGGTGTGTGTGTGTGTGTGTGTGTGTGTATGTGTATGTGTGTGTGTGTGTATGTATGTATGAGGTCTGCCTGGAAAAAGTCCAATCATTGTTAATATAACAAAAACGGTTTGCATGTGGATGATAAGTGAGAGCCAAGGAGAGTGGACTGGAATGAGCATGTGTGAACAATGACGACTTCCCTGTACTAGTCAGTGGGGATGGTAGATGCCATTGAGGGAGCATGTGTACTGTGTGGCTGTCACATTCAAAATGACTGAATGAGTAGAGCAACAAATCTGCATTAATTTTTGAATTAAGCTTGAACATTCCTCTGTGGAAACTATTCAGATGATTCAGAAAGTTGATGCTATGGGCAACTGGTGATTTGCAGCTTCCTCACAACAACATACCTGCTCATGCATTACATCTTGTACGGTTTTTCAGCAAAACATCAAATCGCCCAGGTGACTCAGCCCCTGTACAGCCCAGATTTGGTGCCCTGTGACTTCTGCCTTTTCCCCAAACTAAAATCATTTTTGAAAGGGAACAAATTTTAGACTATCCATGAGATTCAGGACAATACAACGGGGCAGCTGATGGCAACTGGGAGAACTGTTTGAAGTTCTAAGGTGCCTACTTTGAAGGGGACTGAGGTGTCATTGTCTTGTGTACAGTGTTTCTTATATCTTGTATATTCTTCATTAAATGTCACTATTTTTCATATTACGTGACTGGATACTTTCTGGACAGACCTCGTGTGTGTGTGTGTGTGTGTGTGTGTGTGTGTGTGTGTGTGTGTACATGTATATAAACCTATATGGACAGAAAGAGGTAAAGGTGTGCATTTTAAAAAATTACCGATAAAACTTATGTTCTCTTCCTCTGTCCTATTTCTTTCCCTACTCCCCTGAGGAAACCAGTATCATAAATTTGACGTATCCTTTGTTTCATGTTTTTAGTATGTATAAATCATTGTATTATTTTGTATTTTTAAAAATGTTTACATGAATGGTTCTCATTTCTCATTTTTTTGAGATTCATTTATTCAACAAAAATGAATTGAGTGCCTAATGCATCTAGGCATTGCTCTTGAGGCTGGGGATGCCTCAGACCAAAACAAATAAAAACATGTGATCTTAGGGGGCTTATGTATTAGTAGAGGACTGGTTTTCTTTATTTATATAGATCTAGTTCACTTATTTTAAATGTTCTATAGTAGTCCGTTGTGTGAATCATTCACATCTCCTCTCATAGTTCTAGTGGTTGTTGTAAGTGCTATCCACCAATATTTCTAGCTGAACCTTCTTTTGACACATAGTAGGATTGTATTTCCTGGGCTCCTTTGGGCTCTGTGACTGTTTCTGGCTGAGAAAATGTGAGCATAAGTGATAAGGGTTACTTCTAGGTTTAGCAGGTAATTTCCAGTGCAAGTCCTTTCAGACTTCTGTTTTTCCATGGTCATGACAAATGGTAATTTTTAAGATGGTGATTGAATTCCTGAGTATTTGTAACGAACAGAGCTTCCCTGGCAGCCTGTTATGGAAGTATAACATGAGTAAGTTATAAATATTTTAAAGCTACTGAGATTTTTGGGATTATTGTTATTACAGGGTAACTGACCCGACTGACATTATGAGAGACATTTGGTATGTTTCCAACTGTTTGCTCTGCAGGCAATAGTATAATAAATATCCTTTCCCTGTCTCTTTGGGCATACATTCAAGGTTTCTTGAGAACAATGCTCTTCAAATGTTGCTATGTTTACAAATCACATGGAGATTGGTTTAATGTAGATTCTGATTCAGTATGCCAGGGGTCATTCCTGAGAGTCTTCATTTGTACCAACCTTTGAGGTAATGCAAATTCTGCTGGTTCAGGATTTACTGATATGCCCAGAAGGAGATCAGTTGGATCAAATAAATAATGTAAATGTCTTTGATCTTAACTAGATAATTGCTCTACAAAATGATTTGCCAATTTTAGACTTCCAACAACATTTATGGGACATCTCGTTACTCCACCTCTTTTGTATCTGTTATCAAACTTTTTAGCTTTTGTAAATCTGACGATTGTGACGTGATAGATAACTGTTCCAGAGTTGCATTTCTTTGATTACTAGTGAGATTGGTTTTTGGACATTTGGATTTTCTTTCATATACAAGTTGGAACAAAAGTAGATTATAACAGTTGTGATTACAGGAGATGTAGAATTTATTCTTGTACTATTATTTATTAATTATAGTATTATTTTTCATATGAACAGCTATAAACCTACTTTTGCCCCATCCTGTATATTTCCCATTTTTCTGTTAGGTCTTCTATATTTTTCCCATTTTATAAGAATTCATTATATACTTTGGATACCTTTTCCTTTTATATCCCACAGACATTTTCTTCAATGTATGGCTTACCAATTAACTTTGCATAGTTAGTATTTTTTGAGGTATACTACCTGTTAATTTTGTTCTATTTAAATTTATTTTGTGGTATTTAATATTTTATTTCTAAACATTCTCAAGCTCAGTATTAATAATTTCTGTCTCTTTCCTGAACCAGTAGAAAGTAAGTTGCGAATATGATGCTCTATCATCCCCAGATACTTTAGTGTGATTTTCTACAAATAAAGATATTCTTCTGTGCAGCCACAGTGCAACAGAGAATAGAAATGAACATTGATAGATTAGTAGCATCCAATCCCCATACCTGATTCAAATTTCACCAGTTATCTCAATCATGTTCTTTATAGCAAAAGAATCAGTTTAAATTGTGAACTACATTTAGTGCTCATGTCTTTTTAGTCTTCTTCGATCTGGAACTATCCTTAGTCTTTCCTTGACTCTCATGACCATGTCACTTTTGACGATTACAGGCCGTTTATTATGTAGGATGCCTCTCAATTTGGGTTTGTCTGTATTTCCTCATGATTAAATTCATGTTATATGTTTTTGGCTAGGATAGCACGAAAGTGGTACGGTATTCTCATTGCATTCTATCAGGTGGCAGATAAATTTCATTTGTCCTATTACTGATAATGTCCACTTTGATTACTTTATTAAGATGGTGTCTACCAGACTTTTCCATTGTAAAGTTACTTTTTTCCCCTTTTGTAATGAAAGATTTTGTGGGGAGGTATTTTGTAGTTATGTAAATTAATCATTTTTCATCAAATTTCCAATTTATTTTTTTATCTCAATATGGATTCATGTTTTTAAATTTTATTTGATGGGTCATAATTTATTAGTTCTATTTATTTTGCTGCTCAAATCATCCTGCATGACACCAGTAGGGCACTTTAATCTGGCTTTTGTGTCCTTTTAACGTGTCCCCTTAATTCGATGAGTACTTTCTTACTAGCAAAAGGGGACATTTTTCAGGCTCATCTTATGCTTTATCTGCTGCAGCCCTGGAATCTACCATTTTTTCTAGAATGCCATGTTTTTTGGGGGGTAAAGAATATTATTTAGAAGCCAAGGTCTATGTGGTTGGTGTGCTCATTACTACTGAGTAACCTGGCTCATTATTTTTAGTATATTTATTTATTTGATCAGTTTCCCTTGTGAAACGAATCACCTTATTGCTATCACTGCCACTCTTTACCCTGCTAGAGTGCCAACACCACACACTGAGTCACCTTCCTATATGGCATCCTCTGTACTCTCCTGGGGCTTTAACACCCTGGGGCATGCTGCGGTCCTGCCTGAATGCCCTCCTCATCCCTGTTTGGCTCTGATACTCTGTACCAGGCTGCTTTTATACAGACACTCTCCTTATCTCACTAGGTCACT